TTTGGAAACATCAAGAAAAGGTGATGTGTTCGATGGATGTATGAGGTAGAGAATATTTTTAAAGTTTGCATTTCTACTGTTTTTCCCAACAGTCGACAGTAAAAATCATGGGTTGGATCGTTTTTCCGGCACAAATCGGGGTCTTACCCCCCTTTTCGGACAACTCACAAAACGGCGACCGGGATTAGCCGTAGTCCACGAAGTTTGGACAACAACTTCCAACCCACAACTGCATACAAATGGGTGAGTATGGCCGTTCAACTCATCACAGAAAAAATGGCGCCCTGTCCGTTGCCGACATGTCGACGAACTGCTGTTGCTGCTCATGTGGCCTTCAAACTTTTTTATTGAATTTCAAAATTTTTTTTTAGAATAGAGCAGTACAAGATAGAGGAAGAAGAGAATCCCTATTTTTTTCTAATTTTTGGAGCAGAGAAGACCGTGTATATGAGGAGGATGAATTCAATAAATAGAATTTTTGAGGGCTAAAAATGTCATTCACCGTCATTTACCAGTCAATCCAACGTACCTAACGGCAGAATGATTCACTCGGATGCTATCCGTAGCTACGAATCTGTGAAACCTAATATGAGATAAAGACACAATTTCATATATCCCAACAGTGTTTATTGGGGATGGATGTGGGATCCCATCCGATCCCAACCAACGAAGCAAAATAGCCCTTAGTGGATTGCCCAACCCTAGACCCAAAACCCTAAAATCCTAAAATTAAGATGTTGAATGCCATTATTACCCCTTTCGCTAACAATACTTTTCCATAGGGGTTGGCAAAATTGGCGGTAAAAGACATTAGTTTCCACATCCACGTAATTATTCTATTCGGTCTCACAGGCTCCTCTAGTTACCTATATTGCATTAGTTTGAATTACATGAGATTTGATTAAATTTCTACCGACTAATTAATTATTTAACTAGTAAGATCTTTGTTTATTGGATTAACTTTTGTATTAAATTATTAAATTCTGGTATTATACATAAATTTTCTATAAAATCTTTTATAATTATCATGAAATTTGAAGAATAAAATAGTCTTTTACTTATTTAGCCATCTAACCAATATTATTGTACGTCTAGTCCAAAAAAGCAAATTATGGAACGCGTGAAAAAATACCTTGCTTTTGTTCTCATTCACAATATAAACAACTGTACTTAGTAGCTACCAATCACACATTCAACTATAAAAAAAAAAAACAAAAAAAAAAAAAAATGTAAAAGAAATCAATTGTCCCTTTTGTGACGGTATAATAGTATAATACATTTAAAGAACGAAACTCATTTCATCCAAGAAATGCATGTGGAGTTTTAAGACTTCGCAAAAATATTTTTGATTAGGAGTTGAGAATTTTTGAGATAATATGACTAAAATATTGATGAAGTTAGCAAGGTAATTGAATCAAAAGTTTACAGAGTTCGGGCAGAGCATTAATTTTTTTTTGAATTTACTCATAAAAATATATATTATGGAACAAGTAAGGTGGTGTTTGAAAAAGCTTGTTTAAAAGCAGAAGATAATGATTGTGAGTTAAATTGAGATTATGTGGTTATTTATAAAAGCTAGGGGTGCTTGCAAATTCAATGAAAAATCAACTAAAATATATTAATCAAGTACATGAGTGCGTTTAAAATTATAGCTTTTCTTAGAGAAGCTAAAGCAAAAGTTTGTTTTGCAAACACGTAAAAACAAATTATTATATGCAGAAAAAAGCTTATAATCTATTTTTAAAAGCTTTTGCAAACACCACATAAATGTAACATATGTTTAAATATAATATAATAAATATAGTTTATTTAAAATTACCGAACTCTTTGAAGGTAGAGATAAGCAATGTAGATTAATAACTAATGCGAAGATTGCTGAAAAAAAATGTTTAAAATCTTCAAATAAATAAAAAAAATTAATAAAAGAACTCAGTATCTAACTATTTATAATGGATCTAAGGCCTTGTTTGATAGTGCTTAATAACCTCTTAATGACCTCTTAACAATATCCATTTCTTATTCGGTCAGATCTCTCGATATTCAGTGCATTTGGTTTGACAATCTGAATGGCTCCAATTGCCTCTTACCGATTCAGTTCAAAAAGTTGAACTTGTTCGGTCAGAGCCTCCTACTGAACGAAATTGAGACAAATCTTCTCCTTATATGAATTGGGTATTCCAACTATCTTCATGCAATTTGTTGAATTATATATTAATTTATTATACGTAGTGGGGTTTTTAATTAGTTTTAAAATTCTCACATTTACATAGTGTAAAGTAAGGTAGTTTTTCATCTTGTAGTGTCATATAAGCTAAAATAATACTCCCTCCGTTCCTAAATAGGTGTCGTTTTTCATCTTGGCACAAATCTTAAGAATCTCAATAAATATGTCTTGATTTCAGGAAAATAGATATTGATGAACCAAAATACCATTGTTTATTAATTAATGCAGGAAAAGTGCTATAGAGTTAATAAGGGTAAAATTGAAAAATGAGCAATTAATGCAGTATTGGAATTGTAAAGTGACAGATAATATGGAACAAAAATAATCTCAAAAGAGACGGATATTATGGAATAGAGGGAGTATTAAGTTTGATATTCACTTATTTGTATATGTTTTGGATGTGAGAATGTAAGTTCTTTCTATAATTATTTAAAGTGAATTGAAATTTTTATTTTTCTTTTCTATGGTTCAATTTTCTGAAATAATAATTGTCTTATATGTGTATGTCAAATACATAGAACAAAAATCACCTAAGCCACAATTTTTTTTTTAATTAAAAGTATCTTATTTAACAATTAAAAGTTCATAGTAATTTTTTTTTTTATTTAGACATTATATTATTGATAATCAATTAGTAGATAAAGTCATTTGTTATAACAATTCCAAGGGCTAATATAGTAAAATTATATCATTCAGATGTAAAAGTACTTTTAGTTATCAAACAAACTTAAACATTTAGCATTCAGTATTTAGATATTGGTCTTAATCATTCAGATATGTATTCAACATTCAGTGTTCAGCGCTTAATTTTATCAAACATAGCCTAAGGCATTTTATTCACATCAAATGTAAGAATAAGTGTAAAAATTTCCAATAAATATTTAAAGTATGTAAAAATAACATAGTCATGGTTATTCAAATTGAACTATATATTAATATATATTAAATATCATTTAATAATATCACTAAAAAAAATCTTTTGAGTGACAACACCTATTTTTCACATAGCTAGTTAGGCAAAAAGTGCTCACTATGCTTGTCACTAATGGGGTGTCGCTAATGCTCTATAGTGACAATAAATAAGGATTAAGTGACAACAAAAAGCTCTATTAATGATAAACATTAAGTGACAACTTTTACATTACATGAGGCTACTAAAATTGACTATGATCAGGGGACCCTAGGCTTCGTTTCTCTCATCTATAGAAGTCCTAACAAAATTCTGATGAAGTTAGTGCGTTGTAAAAGTCAGTAGAATCATATTATTTCCTTAAGTCTCACTTAGAAATGAGAAAAATGTAGTTGTTGGTAGAACTAAGAGAAAATGGTAATTTTGATTTTTTTTTTTTGTTGGTAAAAGGATAACATGCAACCAACTATATAGTTGAAATGGGTAAATTTTGGTTTTGTTAATTAGCCTATTTACGGATTTAGTATTTAGTTTTAAGTTGTTCCATTGTTTCTTACACGTAATATCTTAACATAGCATTTTTTTTCATTATATTTTGAGAAATTTCAAGATTTCTAATTTTCTACATTGATTATTGAAGCGGCTACAAATTTGCTAAATTTTGATTGTAGAAAAAAATGCGAAGTCGTATTTATGTGGTGTTTGCAAAAGCTTAATTAAAAACAGAAGTTATGGATTGTGAGTTAAGTTGATTTAAAGTCCTCAATTCTAAAAGGTTAGGGGTGTTTACAACCTTAGCTTACTGAAAAATCAACTTAAACAGAAAAAACAGGGTCATGGGTGGTTAACAAATTATATCTTAAAGTTACTTATTTTAAGAGACGCAAAAACAAAAATCCATTTTACAAACACTTAGGTGGTGTTTGCAAAAGCTTATTTAAAAGTAAAAGTTATGAATTGTGAGTTAAGTTGATTTTAAGTATTTTCTAAAAGTTGGGGGTGTTTGCAAATTTACTGAAAAATTAACTTAAACAAAAAAAAAAACAAAATCATAGGTGCTTAACAAATTATAGCTTAAAGTGGCTATTTTAAAAAAGTAAAAACAAAGTTTATTTTGTAAACACATAAAAATAGATTATAATAAAAAAAAAATAGCTCATAATCTATTTATAAAAACTTTTGCAAACACCACCTTAGTAGACTTGATTTTGAACATTTAGAGCAACTATAATCATCAAATAGTCCAAATACTCATTTGATGTTTGTTATATTATTTTGATATCTCATTAACATTCATCTACGGCAATTCAACTAAAAAGGATTATTATCTTTTTTAGTCAATTGAATAAACTATATTTCCAAGTGGCACGTGTCAATTTATGAGAGGTTACTAGGATGACTAAAAAATTTATGTCTATTGCAAGCTACAATCTTTGTATCCGAAGAAGTTGAACATCAAAATAACTGCCGGGTCGAAGAGAAATGTTTGAATTTTGAAAAAAAAAAAAAACATGTTATTTGCGGTTTCCAACTGTAAAAATCTTGTGGCACCATATCACCCTTGTTACAATTTTTTCGACAAACAAAATTCATGTGTCTCAATTTCAAAAAAATTGAAAAAAAGAATAAAAAAAATAAAAGAAACCACGTGTCCTTTTTTGGCATATTCCAAGCAATTTTTTGCTTTGTGTGATAGGTGTGGGACCCACCTCCAAATCCCACATGATATTCACCAGACTTCCCTGCTGAAATTAGTCACAACTCTGAGCTGTTTTCACTATTCAGGGACTAGAGTTGCAAATAACATGCATGCAAAAGTATGCAAATGCAAATCAAACCCCCCACAATTGATGACGTCATCACCTCGTCATCATACTTAAAAACCACTTTATATAAACAACACCCATTTTCAAGAATTAGGTCATCTCCCCCATCCACTTCTCTCCAACTTCAACTCACCCCAAACCAAAAAAAAGAAAAGAAAAAAAAAAACTTACAAAATGGAGTTAGCTCTAAAAAAAACCGCCCCCCACTCGGCCCCCCGCCCAAAAACCCATTACAAAATAAACATCAACAATCTCTCATACAAACTTCCACAAACAACATATACATACAATATCCATTGCCTTCACTCCAAACACCAACACACTACTCCTCCTCAACCATTCATTCTCAAGAACGTAAACTGCGAAGCCCGACCGGGCGAACTCACCGTGATCGCGGGCCCCAGCGGCGCCGGAAAGACCACCCTCCTCGAGATCATAGCCGGAGAAATCAAACGGTCCAGATTCACCGGCCATGTCCTGGTCAACGGCTCCCCCATGAGGGGGGCCCACTTCCGCCGAGTCTCCGGCTACATCACTCAGGACGAAGCCCTCTTCCCACACCTCACCGTTCAAGAAACCCTAACCTACAGCGCTCGCCTGAGGCTTCCCGCAAAATCACGCGAAGAAGCCGAAACCCGAGTCGAGTACCTCTTAAAGGAGCTCGGGCTGGAGCACATCGCCGGAGCGAGAATCGGAAGCGAGTCCGATAGAGGAATCTCCGGCGGGGAGAAGAGAAGAGTTTCCATAGGAGTTGAGCTGGTGCACGACCCCATGGTAGTTCTCCTGGACGAGCCCACATCGGGTCTCGACTCCGGTTCGGCCCTCCACGTCATCTTTCTCCTCAAATCCATGGCGAAGAATCAGGGCAAGACTATAGTCCTGACGATTCATCAACCCGGGTTTCGAATTCTCGACTTGATCGACAGAGTTGTACTCTTGTCTGACGGTACGGTTCTCCACAACGGCTCTCTGAGTCTCCTCGAAGAACGCCTCATGTTCAAGGGGCATTTCGTTCCGCCACGTGTCAACGTGCTTGAGTTCGCCATCGATGCAGCAGAAAAAATCCTGCACAAAGAGGAAGAAGAAGAATTACTGATACATTGTCGTACGGAGGAGGAAGAAGAAAACAAAAAGAACCACGCGAACAGCACGCACTACAATAATTCTCGGTTCAAAGAGGTGATGATTCTGATGCAGAGATTCTCCCGAAACATTTTCCGAACCAAACAGCTATTCGCAGCGAAGACGATTCAATCACTACTCGCGGGGATTGTGTTGGGCACAATATTTATAAATTCATTTGGCAACAGAAACAACAAGAGATTGGAGGTGCAGAATCAACTAGGGTTTCTAGCATTCACCCTGTCGTTCTTGATGTCGACGACAACCGAAGCCCTCCCGATTTTCTTACAAGAGAGAAGAATTCTCATGAGAGAAACATCGAGAGGAGTATACCGAGTCTCGTCTTACATCATCGCCAACACTTTGGTTTTCATTCCATTTCTTCTGATAGTTGCTCTTCTCTACACCACCCCAGTCTACTGGCTTGTCGGATTACGACGAAACGTCGACGGGTTTCTCTACTTCTCATTAGTAGTCTGGATGGTTGTCCTAATGGCGAACTCCTTCGTCGCCTGTTTCAGCGCACTGGTTCCGGATTTCATAACCGGAATGTCGATTATCTACGGTTTCTTGGGGTCGTTTTTTCTTTTCTCGGGATACTTCATGTCGAAGGATGCCGTACCAAAGTATTGGAACTTCATGCAGTACGTGAGTTTGTTCAAGTACCCGTTCGAATGCTTTATGATAAACGAGTACGGCGGAGAGGGTGGGAAGATGAGATGCTTACAGGTAATGGAAGGTACGTGTTTGATATACGGGGACCAGTTCTTGGTGCAGCAAGGTTTGAAGGAGTCGCAGAAATGGAGCAATTTGTTCACGATGTTGAGTTTTATCGTCGGTTATCGAGTTTTAGGGTTTGTGTTTCTCTACTATAGATCTTGCAGAACATGAGCTTACGGAATATTATTGCTTTCAATCCGTGTAGTTCTTCAATTAATGTTCGGTACGAAAAATAACTGTGTTTGGTAAGCTTTTGGGCTTCCATTTCCATTTTATTTTGGGGAAAGATGTTTTGGGAGAAGAATTTGAAAATTAAATAAAGTTTGTTTGTGTTTTGGGAGGAGACAATTTGTACTGTAGCAAGTCAAATCATGTCTGAAAGGTGTTGGAAAAATGTATTTTGGAAGAAGAATTTAAAAGATAAAGTGATTTGATTTTGTATTTTAGTGAAGACAATTTTCACTGTAGCGGTCAAATCATGTTTGTTAGAGAGAGAAATATTTGAATTTGTTTTGGGGAAAGTTTTTGAAAATAGTGTAGAAAGATAATTTTCATTTTGGGGAAAGTGTGGAAAGAATTTGAAAACGGTAACAAACATAGCCAAAATGTCTTCGGCGATTGGCAATACCTATTTTCACATAGTTAGTCAAAAAATGTTGTTACTATATATGTTTGTTACTGATCGGGTGTTACTATAAAGAAGCTAGAATTGACAAGATAAGGCCATTTTTTTTTCATGGTGATATTATTTGATAGTTTATATTAGTTGATCTAAAAATAGAACCTGAGAATATTTATTCATTTGAATTTATGTAATATCTATCGATTTATGAGATATTTCAAAATATTTAACTTTAATCAATTAAATCGTAAATTTGAAAACCCGAAAATCAGAAACTCGAAAACCTTGTATTTATTAAGTAAGTCGTACGAATCAAAATTATATTCATTAATTTAATTATTAGACATTAAAATTATTGTAATACATAATAATATTACTATGTTAATCGGTAAAAAAAAAATTATTATTATTGTGTAACAAAATAATTTTATGGTCTAACACAATAATATTACTTGTTGACCGGTTAACACAAAAACAAAACAAAACGAAAAAAAATATTAATTTTTTTTAATATTACTGTCCAACACATGCAATAATATTACTATGTTGACCGCCGTATAACAATTGAAAACAAAAAAAAAAAGTCAAAACACCCCTGGTGGCATAAAGAAAAAGGGGAAAAAATCGGGTTATAGGTCAAAATTGATAAAATTTGTATCAAAAATTAGTTTTTAAATTAAAGAATAAATTAAAGAATAAGAAATTATGAGGAAATTGATCGATAGGCAAAGTAAACTAACATGAAATAAATTAGCGGTCTTTACAAATAAACCCATCAATTGATACTTATTCATAAAGAAATTCAGACAAAAAACTCCTTTACCAATAAGTCCACACATGATCCAGATTTTTGTAAGACACTAATATAACCCATCATACTTTAATATGCTCCAATTTCATCATTAACTTAATTTAACTTCAATTTGACCTCAAATTTCACAAATTATTCAATTTTGACCCAAAACTTTTTTTTTTCAAATTTTTTTTCCCGCCAGAGTCCGGCGTTGACTTTTCAATTTTTATTTGTTTATTTTATGTTTTTTTTCTTCCGGATTTTTTCGCTGGATTCCGGCGTTGACCGGCGTCGGTCTCTGGCGTTGACTTTTTTGAATTTATTTTTATTTTTTCTTCTTTTCTTTCTTTCTGTAACTTTTTTTTTCCGTTTAAACATCAATATTGCTGTGATTGACAGTAATATTAACTATATTACTGTTAAACACAGTAAAATTAATTAAATTACAGTTTAACGCAGTAATATTGCTATATTAATCTCTAACACAGTAATATTTACACAACAAAACTCATTATTATTGTGTAATAGAGTAATATTACTATGTTGGCCGTTCAACAAATGTAAACATAATAAAAAGCTAAAATAATTAATATTACTGTGAGTGACAGTAATATTAGTATAACAACAGTAATATTACCGTCAACCACAATAATATTACAATAATATACAGTAATATTATTACGTTACTCCGTCAATAACTCAAACAAACAAAAAATTCCAAACAAAATAATAATATTGATGTGGTTGACATCAATATTACTATAATAATTGTAATATTACCGTCAACCACAGTAATATTATTGTGTTTACAGTAATATTACAATAATAGACAGTAATATTATTACGTTACTCCGTGAATAACTCAAACAAAACAAAAAAAACCCAAAAAAATAATAATATTGATGTTGTTGACAGTAATATTATTGTGTTTACAGTTATTTTTACCGTCAACGACAGTAATATAATTACATTGACTTGTCAACAAATCAAACAAAATAAAAAAAAACAACAAAAATAAAAAATAATAATATTACGTTAATTTACTGTCAACGGCAGAACAATTACATAAATGTATTGTCAACGGTAGTTCAATTACGTTAATTAACTATCACTGACAATATAATTACCTTAATTTACTGTCAGTGACAGCACAATTACGATCAACATTTAGCGGCGGACGTAAAAAAAAAAAACCTAAAAAAAGTCAACGCCGGAGACCGCCGGTCAACGCCGGAAACCGGCGAAAAAATCCGGAAGAAAAGATAAGAAAATAGAAAAAAAAAAGTTAACGCCGGAAACGGGCGAAAAAATCCGAAAGAAAGAAAAAAAAAATTGAAAAGTCAACGCCGGAATCCTGCGGCAAAATTTTTTTTTGAAAAATTTTTTTTTGAAAAAAAAAACGTTTTGGGTCAAAATTGAATAATTAATAAAATTTGGGGTCAAATTGAGATTAAATTAAGTTAATGATGAAATTAGAGCATATTAAAGTATGCTAAAAAAAAAAATTTGAAATTTTGTGGTCAAAATTGGATTTTTGTGGACAAAATTGATTAAATTGGGGTTACAATTAAGAAATGTGTATAAAAGGTTGGGGGTAATATTGACATATACATGAATGTTTCCCTTATTTATAATAAATATTAAAGGGATGGGCTTATTGGTGAAAAAGATATAACCTAAACCTAAAATAATAAACATGCTTGGTTGGTGACTTATGTACAAAAACCCCAATAAATTAAGGAATAAAAATGATCGAATACGTTTGAGTGCAGGATTCATGGATCGATCTTATTACACATTACCATTTAGAGAAGCCCTAGCGAATCAACACGTATGAATTATATCAATTCTTCATGGATAAGAAAGGGAAAGCTTACTTCATCATAATTGTGACGTCATCAGTGTTTGTTGGTGCATTTAAATGGAAGCAGTTCTGTTTATCCGATCCTCTTAGCGCCTGTTTTCGAAGAGCATTCAATTTGACGCTGCATTATCAGGATTTTGCGGATCGGAGGACAACTAAGAAAAAAGTAATAATTGTCCGCAGTTTGAACTCTCCATTGCAAATGTTTTATAGGTCGAACTCGTCATATATGATTAGACAAATGTGGGTTACATTTCTTGAGTAATTTTGGAGTTATCACATGAGGCCTTTCTTTAGGGCCGGTACCATGATCAAAATGTAGGGGGCTACTAAAATTTTAGGATTCGGGGCAGCGCCCGAAAAAAATTTTAGGTGCACAAAACATTGCAAAAAATAAGTTTATATAACTAATTTTTAATTAAAATATATATATATATATATATATATATATATATATATATATATATATATATATATATATATATATATATATATATATATATATATATATATATATATATATATATATATATATATATATATATATATATATATATATATATATATATATATATATATGTATGTATGTATATATCATATTTTAATCATCACAAAATATTCTAAATTAATTCAAATTATTCTAATAATATACTGCACTTAATTAATATTTCGGAGATTCATGGCACGATCTCATCTTTTTTTAAGGCGTTAGATAAAAAAATTCAAATATAAGTAATATTCATAAATTTTTATTTAAAATAATACTAGTTTTAACCATCTTATTTTATATTTTATATTAAATATGATATATTTATCTATAATTTATATAAAATTTTAGTACCAAATATCTAAATTTTTTTTTCTTGGGGGGTCAACGGCCCCCCATGCCCCATCAAAGTTCCGCCAGTGCCTTTCTTACTCTCTAAATCCCCATAATTATCAATCTACCTTCAGAAACACAAAATCGTTCAAGTATGGCTACTCCGTTTCACGGAAATCGATTGCGATATTTGTGTATTTAATATTTTAGTCAACTATAGTATTTTGATAGATTAATAAATCAACTATGCAAACATATATCGCAGTCAATTTAAGTCCAGTTTCATCCAAAATTTCGCGAAAAACATAAGGAGGGGTCATCACTAATTATTTTCAAAGGTTGGACCTATGTTAGTGGGGTAAACAATATAATTAACTCCCCTGTGTTAAGGAAAACCTGCGCCAGATCCCCCTGTGTTTTTTTTCTTGCGTAAAACCCCCTTGTGTTTTATTTTACTTTGCACGAAATCTTCTTATGCGTTAAAAGTTAACACCGTTAACTATAGAGGGGGATTTATGCAAGTTTTTTGTAACATAGGGAGATTTTTAGTTGATATTTTCTACAATACAAGGGGATTTTATGCAAATTAATTTATTCATTTAAAATTCAAATTATTTTCTTAAATTAAGTCGAATATATCTACTAATTTAAAATATGAAAACTAAGAAAATAATACTCGAGATGGAAGTTGGAACGAATTCTCAAATTATTTATGTTCTTTTCACATATAATTAATCAAGAATTAATTATAAACATGTATAATAATTCTAATAAAATAATTATATAATTTAAAAAATCAAAATTCATACATTAATAAATTATGTATCATATAATTTTTTTAACCATTCACCACACCTATTAAATTTTTATTTTTGATATTGTAATTGAATAAATGTGTTCAACTTAATTTCAGAAAATAATATGAAATTTAAACAAATAAATTAATTTTTGCATAACATTTCCTTGTATTGTAGAAAATATGCACTAAATCCCCCTCATGTTACAAAAAACTGGCGTAAAACCCCCTCTATAGTTAACGGTGTTAACTTTTAATGGAAAAAATGGGATTTCGTGCAAAGTAAAATAAAACATAAGGGAGTTTTACGCAAGAAAAAAAACATAGGAGAATTTGACACATGTTTTCCTTAACACAGGGGGATTTTATGCTGTTTACCCGGCCCTATGTTAGTGCAATTCCCCATTATCTAAATTTCTTCTAAATAATAAAAGAAAATT